CTTCAGCCGCGCGCAGCCCAGCGACGTCCGAGCTCCAGACCTGGTCAGAAGAAAACTGCAGAGCAGCAGCTCGAGCTGAGGGACATCAGGTCACCGAGCGCCTTTCCGGTTTGTCCGCTAATCCGGGGAGAATGCGCTGCGCTGGTGCGAAATCACGCCAGTTCAGCGAGGCCGTCAATAGAGATATCACCTCCAGAGCGCCTGGACAAGCCCAGTGACATCACTGATGCTGACTGCGGGTCCTGACCAGCGCAGAGCCGCTGCGTTACAGCACAATGAGGCAGTGAGCGCTACAGTGCAGATGCAGCCTGAGCCGCACAGACTGCAGCACACCAGCCTTTAGCATCATGACCCACATAGCTCAGCGTGTGGCAACTCCTGAGGACTATTATTAGACACACTCTTTAGAGAAAGATGGTTCTCCAAGGGTTCTGTCTTAAAGACAATAGCTTCATATAGAACCATGAACACTCAAAGAACTGTTTGAATGCTTATGTGGTTCTTTGCATGCTGATATGGTTCTTCAGACTGATGGAGAACGTGTTGTATACAGTATTAGGACCAAAAGGGTTCTGCTGTTTTTACGATGTCAAGCTTGTAAATAAACTTTTGACTCGAGTTGACAACCAGAGGTGGCAAGTAACGAAGTACAAGTACCTCTTTACTGTACTTAAGTAATTTATTTAAGTATCTGTCCTTGAATATTTCTGTCACTTAATACCTTTTACTTTTACTCACTACAATGCTGTAATTTTTACTCGCTACATTTTCAAAACAGGCTTGTTACTTTATTTCTATCAGGCTATTTATTCATGTATTTAGAATATAATATATTTTTAATCAGGCAGTTATATTTAGCTACAAATCGGAATTCTATGGGGAAGGTGGGCGGAGTGAACCTGTGATTGGCTACTTTCAGAGAGCTTGTTGAGAGGAGAATTACTACGTAATGTCTTTTGGGATTCTCGGACACTAGAGGGCGCTCCAGAGTGAGTCCAAAATGAATGGGTTGATATGGAGCGTTTGAGCAAAATCATAGTTTATAAATGCTTAAACATTTTTAATGTAAAAGAACAGCATAAAACATTTTAACTCTGCTGTTATATTTTTAAGAGCTTTTAAACTCGAGTTATAGGAGTTTAAAACGGCGTCTCATGTACATTCACAACGTCTGTGAGCGTGAACAGCCAATGAGCTGCTCTGCTCACCAACCAATCAGCACTCAGTAGCAGTAATGTTAGCGTTCTTCTGCCCAAAACCCGTTTACTGTAGAAAAAAGGAAACATTCAGGTGGGTTTTCTTTGCTTTTTTAGTGAAATACATCCGTCTACTTTCTAAAATTAAAGGAAAGTTCTGGGCGAAAAACACACAAATTTAATAATTAGACTTAAGATGGGGAAAATAAAAAATGAAATGTAGGATTCAGGTCCTTTAATGACCTTTTTTCATAACATAGCAGCAGTAAAAGGCAAGCCAAGTTTACTTATATAGAACCTTTCATACACTGTGGTCATTCAAAGTGCTTCACAAATGAGAAAACAGATTAAAAAGCCTTCAGTTTAGATATAAACCAACAATTGCTCCTTGCCTCTATTTGGTGTCCGTGCCCAGCAGTGTCTTGCATAATAGGTTACTGGACATCTCTGTGCAGACAAATGGCTCGTTAGAATGAGGCATTCGTCTGTTGTGTTGCATGGGCTGAATAGGAGTGGAGGGTTACTGGCTAACCATGCATGCCATCCCACCACCGTGCCAGTCTCGGTGCCAGCTTCACCCAGCTGAGCTCCCGCTGAGATTAACCCACTGCTGCACCCCAGCTGAGCATACAGAGAGCTACAGGCCATTGTTGCAGAATTACACCCGATCTAATCCATCTTGTGTTCCAAGAGGGCGCCTGGATCTGGTCTAATTTCATCGTGGAATGAATCTGGTGGGTGGAGTTCACCACAAAGAGCAGAGAATGGCAGCAACCAATCACGCATCTGTGACTATTCCTTTCACAAGAACAAAAAGTACTGACTTGCATTGAAACGTGCTGCTATGTCCCAAACTGGGACAGCAGTTGTGCAACACTTCCTGCTAATGGCCTACTGTTGCCTGCAGCTCACGGCTAGTGTCACAGCTAAGCATTTGATGAGATTGGTATTAGCATTTAAATGCCTCTTGCTCTTAAAACAGGTCTGGGATCACACAATTACTAAAAATAACTGGACCCTATAGGATATGAAGCGTACCATATAACTGGAAAACATAGCCATTTGAAACAAAGCCTAAGATTTCAACATAAAAGTTCTACTACTTGTTCGATGGCAATAAGGCCTAGTCTGTCTTAAAGGGCCCGTATCCTACGCTTTTATGCACTTTATACTTTCCCCTGAGATCCACTTATAACATTTGTGTTGTGTTTAAAACAAAATTAAAAACAGTCCTAATTCATTTTACATGACAATTTTCCAACCACTCTTTATCTCTTAGAATTAAACTGTTTTTGTTAATGTGCAATTAAGACTGATACACCAATCAGGCATAACATTATGACCCCTTGTTTCTACACTCATTGTCCATTTTATCAGCTCCACTTACTATATAGGTGCACTTTGTAGTTCTACAGTTACAGACTGTAGTCCATCTGTTTCTCTGCATACTTTGTCAGCCCCTTTTTACCCTGTTCTTCAGTGGTCAGGACCCCCATGGACCCTCACAGAGCAGGTACTATTTGGATGGTGGATCATTCTCAGCACTGCAGTAACACTGATGTGGTGGTGGTGTGTTAATGTTTGTTGCGCTGGTCTGAGTGGATCAGACACAGCAGTGCTGCTGGAGTTTTTAAACACCTCAGTGTCACTGCTGGACTGAGAATAGTCCACCAACCAAAAATATCCAGCCAACAGCGTCCTGTGACCACTGATGAAGGACTAAAGCATGACCAACACAGAGCTATCGTCTCTGACTTCACATCTACAAGGTGGACTGACAAGGTAGGAGTGTCTAATTAGAGTGGACAGTGAGTGGACACAGTGAGTGTTTAAAAACTCCAGCAGCACTGCTGTGTCTGATCCACTCGTACCAGCACAACACACACTAACACACCACCACCACGTCAGTGTTACTGCAGTGCTGAGAATGATCCACCACCCAAATAGTACCTGCTCTGTGAGGGTCCATGGGGGTCCTGACCACTGAAGAACAGGGTAAAAGGGGGCTAACAAAGTATGCAGAGAAACAGATGGACTACAGTCTGTAACTGTAGAACTACAAAGTGCACCTATATAGTAAGTGGAGCTGATAAAATGGACAATGAGTGTAGAAACAAGGAGGTGGTCAGAATGTTATGCCTGATCAGTGTATATGTAAATGAGAATGTAAATGAGCTCTGTTGGATGTGCTGTACTCTGCCTTGTTCAAAAAGCAGTCCTGGCTGAAACGCTCCTTATGGTTTCAGAGTGAATAGGTCTAGTAAACGTGCACATGTGCTACACACACTACCATGTCAGTGCCACTGCTGTGCTGAGAATGATCCACCCCCAATTAATACCTGGTCAGCGGTGGTCCTCATTTCCAACTGTGTGCTAGTACATTACAAACAATATGAAAAGGGAATTACACTCATTTTTTTTTATTTCTATATAATATAACAGTTGAGATGTAAACAGAGTCATTCAGAGTGGTTTGGTGTGAAACGCTCCGTTCTACAGAAACTTGCAGAGAAAGAACTGTTCACAGTGGTGGTGATAGGAACCAGACGTCCACGTCTAAAAGCTCCCTCACGAAAAGTTATTGCAAGAAATGGTTATGAATTCACTGCCTGATGTCTGAGACATTTTTTTTGATAGATTTTAAATAATATTTTGGCCTGAAACCTTTTAAAATCTATTACAGCGGAGCGGTACATGCAGGGTGTTGTAAGGCAAAAGAGTCCCCAAAGATTTCTGAATGTTTTGTCACATTCCATATACAAACTCAGAAGACTCGTGTAGGTTCACTGGTGGTTTTGGATGGTAAATAAAAAGGCTATATCTGTGTTGTAGTCATGGCGACCCCTGGTTTCTATCACCACCACTGTAAAGACATCTCTACAATCAACCATTTCACACCAAACCACTCTGAATCACTGTTTACATCTCAACCACTGAAATATGCAGAAATGCAGAAAAAAATGGCAAAATTCCAATATTATTATATTCTCAAGGCTTGTCTGTATAGTTGGCATCTATTGAAGCTCCAGCTGGGGTGCAGCAGTGGATTAACTGGAAACCTACAAACTTACTTTATATAAATGGTCCAGTTGTACGCAAAAGTTTGCTCAAATGACACGTTTTGTTGTTTTTTCAACTGAAAATAACACATCCTGTACAGAGAACACACTTCTGCACATTTGAATACACAATTACATTCACAGCATTCATTCATTCATTTATATGTCGCTGTTGTCGGAAGAAAACCTTGTATCTCCAAAATAGTAACTTTACAGGAGAAGGAAAAAACACACTTTACTTTTAATGTAAGTCAATGGAACCAGACTTTTTTCCAAGCCATTTTGTGCCGTTTCTTTTAGTTTATTCATCATGAAATTTACACACAATGTAAAGGGCAACAGATATTTTCAAATTATGTCAAAAACTCAAAAACGTCAAAAATGGAGATACGAGGTTTTCTTCTGACAGCAGCATTATATATGTTTCCAATATGCAAAAATCGGCAAATAAATATTAATTGTTCATTATATACGCAAAAAATGCCATATTAAAGTGTGTTCTCTGAAGACGATGTGATATTTTCACTCAGAAAATCAACAAAACGTCATCTGACCAGGGTGTTCAGCCGTAGGTGTTTCTGATAAAGTGGCCAATGAGTGTAGCTACCAGGTAATACAGTGGTATCTCAGAATAGCAGTACAATCGTAAGCATACAATGACGGCATAGCTTGCAAAGCAAGAACACCTGGACACTCACCTCTTCCGCAGATTCGGAGGTCATGGTGCCCGGTGCAATGGTGACCTTCAGGTGCCGTTTGTTCCTCTTCCTCACTGTGGCAGGTTTTTCTTCCTTGTCCTGCTTCTTCTCCTCCTTCACTTCCTCCACCTGCTTCTCCTGCTTCTCCTTCTGCTTGACCCTTTTCTCCTCCTTCACAACCTCCCCCTGCTTCTCCTTCTTCTTGTCCTGCTTCACCTGCTTCTCCGGCTTCACTTCCTCCACCTGCTTCTCCTCCTTCTTCTCCTTCTTCTTCTCCTGCTTGACCCTTTTCTCCTCCGCCTGCTTCTTCTTCTTCTCCTCCTTCACTTCCTCCGCCTGCTTCTCCTTCTTCTTCTCCTGCTTCACCCTTTTCTCCTCCTTTGCTTCCTCCACCTGTTTCTCCTTCTTCTTCTCCTCCTTTGCTTCCTCCACCTGTTTCTCCTTGTTCTTCTCCTCCTTCGCTTCCTCCACCTGTTTCTCCTGCTTATCTTTTGTTGCCTTCAGCTTGTCCTGAGTAGGCGGAGCCGCCAGATTGATCATCCCCACAATCCCATCATTAACCAAAGCTGAAGTAACACTTCTCTCCTTTGGCTTCTTCTTCCGCTGAAACAACAACGAAATCAGAGTGTTCATTCGGCTCGTGAAGTGATGGAAACAGCTAAATTGATCTGCTATAGACGGATACAGACTAAAGCGACTAGCCTCAGTAAAATGCAAGTGACCATACAGGACAAAGGCAATACTGAGTAAACCACTAAGAGTTTACAGGACTGGATTCTGTGGGTGTTTTTCCATCGTGTCCATTGCCCACTTCCAGAGTCACACAAAGGACCCCTTGTTAGACTGATGGTGACTGTGATTGGGGATGTCAGGTAAACAAATGGGAAGTTGCTCTCTTTTCATTCGGACAGATTCCTCCATCAGGCAGAAAAACTGATGGCATTTAATTCAGAACATAAAACAGGACTATTATTATTAATCTCTGCCAACATAAAATCAATATATTCCAGCATATTTCAGGGTCTACAGTACTGAAAATACGGGGAGTAATTTTATCTTAATCAGTTCATCATTAATGTAATGATGTCCACTTTCCAATCTATTACAGTTACAAACACTCCTAAATTAGTGTTCAACAGTTATTGATCTACCGATTAACTTCTCTCTTAGCTGTCTAAAAGATTCCAATTCTTCAGTGTCAGAATGAAAAATAAGCCACTGGTCTGTTATAAACACAAAGATTAGTTTACAGCCAATATAAGTCTTCATATCTGAACTGTCTCCTGAATTATATTTCAGAGTTGAGGAAGTGCTTCTTTGTTTCCTCATTAAAGGGAAGAAAGACTGTTCTTTGATGAAAATCACTGGGTCTGCAGCTTCAGCCAACCAGAACATTTAGCTTGATAACTTGGAGCTCTTATTTACTGACAAACTGACTAACTGACTGTCTGATTTACTGACTTACTTACTGACTGGCTGACTTCTGCACTGATATACTGGCTGACTTACTGATGTACTGACTGATGTATTTACTGACTGATGTACTTACTGACTGACACACAGACTGATGTACTGACTGATATACTGACTGACTGACTGATTTCTTTACTAACTGACCGACGTATTGACTGAATGACTTACAGACTGATGTACTGACTGAGTATTGTACTGACTTATGGACTGACATATTTACTGACAGACTGACTGGCTGATATACTGAATGATTGATGTCCTTACTGACTGACTGATTTACTGACTGACTGACTTATACACTGACATCCTGACTGACTGATGTACTGACTGACTGATATACTAACTGACTGATGTACTTACTGACTGACTGACTTATGGACTGATGTACTGACTGACTGAGGTACTTGCTGACTGATTGACCTATGAACTGACGTACTGACTGACTGAATTATGTACTGACTGACTGACATATGGACTGACGTATTGACTGACTGATGTACTTACAGACTGACTGACTGACGTACTGACTGACTAACTTTTGGACTGATGTACTGACTGACTGACTGATGTACTTACTGATGTATTTACTGACTGACTTAGGAACTGATGTACTGACTGACTTATGAAACGATGTACTGACTGACTGAGGTACTTGCTGACTGATTGACCAATGAACTGATGTACTGACTGACTGAATTATGTACTGACTGACTGACATATGGACTGACGTATTGACTGACTGATGTACTTACAGACTGACTGACGTACCGACTGATTAACTTTTGGACTGATGTACTGACTGACTGATGTCTTTACTGACTGACTGACTGATGTACATACTGACTGACTGACTGACTTACAGACTGATGTACTGACTAACTGACTTACAGACTGATGTACTTACTGACAGAATCACTGACTGATATACTGAATGACTGATGTACTGACTGACTGAATTACTGATATACTAACTGATGTACTGACTGACTGACCTACTGACTGACTGATGTACTTACTGACTGACTGACTAATGTACTGACTGATGTACTGACTGATGTACTGACTGACTGACTGATGTACTGACTTACTGACTGACTGATATACTGACTGACTGACGTACTGACTGACTGATGTACTTACTGATTGACTGACTGATGTACTGACTGACTTACGGACTGACTGATATGCTTACTGACTGACTAATGATGTACTGACTGATTCACAGACTGATGTACTGACTGACTGACTTACAGACTGATGTAGTAATTGACTGATTTACTGACTTCATGAAAGATTTACTGACTGGTGTACTGATTGGCTGACTGACTGACATACTGAACAAATGACTCACTGGTTAACTGACACTGATCGACTGAATTACTGACTTACTAACTGATTTGCTGACTGGCTTACTGACTGACATTCTGACCTAATGTCTCATTGATTAACTAAGGGATTTGCTGACTAACTGAATTACTGACTGACCTAATGACTGAATGACTGATTTAATTAATAACTAACTGTTTTACTTAATAACTGACTGATTTCATTAATGACTGGGTGACTGATTAATAACTCACCGACTGATTTCATCAATGACTGACTGATATAATTAATAACTGACTGAGTTTATCAATGATTAACTGATTGATTTAATTAATAACTGACTGACTGATTTCATGAGTGGCCGACTGACTGATTTAATTAATAACTGACTGACTGACTTTCTAAACGACACACTTACCTCCTCACTCACTTACAGCAGTGGACATATACAAATAATATTGTTGAAATGTATCTCTCATTGTTGCCATGTTTTGACTCCAAGTGTCCTCCTTGTCCACCTTAATAATCATTTAGGAGTTTTATTTTCCAAACTATCGTTAAAAACTCATATTGAATTTTTTGCCTAAAAGTGGTTTAAACACCTGAGAGGTCTTTTGCCTTATTCCCACCAAAGCACTGTCACCAGTACAGGCACTACTAAACATATGATGATGTTTTCTCATCAATAAACCTGAATAGTGTTTATACTATATATTCAAGTTATTGCAAACTGAGAAAGAAATCAAGCTTATGTGAAACATAGGATGCAAACCTCTGATCTGCAAGTCACTCAGCAGAAATAGAAAAGCTTGAGCCAGCCAAGTGGTCATGTTCCACTACTGGCCTCTAGAGGCTCCCGTGGGTAGGGCACTGTCAATAGAAATGCATGCAAATCCTAGGCAACAAAATGTTTGGCCTAAAATAACGGAGCACAGCATACAAATGACTTCGGACTCTCAGTCCAAGACTCCCCACCACAAAGCTAACATGCTTTATGAGAGAATCAGATCGCTGAAAACATCTGCCCAGCGTGATTTGGGGGTGAATTTTCTTACCTGGCTCTGATTCTTCGTCTTTGAGGTTTTCTTCGTGGCTGCATAAAAATAACCAATAAAACTGCCTTTAAATAAATGAACATTAACTAACATTATAACAATAAAATTAACCACATTTTTTGAGGGATAGTGCAAATACTAAGGGCAGGTCAGTAAAATACACAATTGAAATTTGTGAAAGAGCTAGAAGGGAAGGCGAAACATCTGGCAGAAATGTTTATCAGGCAAACATACACGAACACAGTACAGATATAAACACTAAGACATCCGACTTGTAGAGAGGCTGGAGGACAGGCCTCGGGCTTTATCATAACACTGAGTGACAGAGGGAAGACAAACAGCTCAGCTATTTGTTTGAGCAGAGTCATCATCTGTCCTCAGCAAGTGAAGACCTGTCGCTTGAGCTCGTGGCCCAGCATTTCAGAAAAAGGCTTCTGATAGTGGGACTGAAAGGTTAATCATTTTTTATGTCAAAATTGCAATTTAAGACAATTTATGAGCTGCATTTTTTAAATTATAGCCTACACTCTTAAAAAGGTTCTTTAAAATATGGTTCTTTATAAAGACAGTCATTCTCTTTAGAACCATGAACACTCCACGACCCATTTACATGCTTAAAATTGTTCTTTGCATGATGAAATGGTTCTTAAGATTGATGGATAATGTGTTGCAAAGGGTTCTATATAGAACCAAGCTATTGCTATGGTGTCAGGCTTGTAACAATAGAAGAACTTTGGTACTATATAGAACCCTTTTCAAAAAAGTGCTATATAGAACCATATACAGCACATTCTCCATCAGTCTGAAGAACCTATTTTAAGCATGCAAATGGATCTTGAGTGTTTATGGTTCTATATAGAACCACTGTCTTTACTAAAGAACCATCATTTTTAAGTGTGTGCATTAGCAACAAAGTTGTTTTTAGTTTTCAGAGGGGAAATTAAACCTAATAAGAGTTTATGAAATGCCTGTAGGTGAGTTAGACCAATCAGAAGCAACCAAACCTCCATGTGTTGTGACATCACAACCACAACTTACTGGCAGTTTAGCACACTACGCTCAGGGGTCAAGCCTCAAGACAAGAAAGAAAGACTGGCCAAAATAAATCAGGCCTGAATCTTAATTTATAAAAAAAATCACGATTTAAATTGCTGTCGCGATATTAGTCGGAAAAATCGCAATTAGATGTTTTCCCCAAATCATTCAGCCCTACCTGATAGTCCACCATTCACTCCCTAGTACTAGCACTGAGGATACATCATCTACAGTAGTGTTACTGAAGTGATATTGGTCTCACACAACAATCTGAACTTTTATTTTGTAGCAGTCACACTTTATTTTAAAGCTACTGACTCCATAACATGCATGAGCATTGAGTATCGATTTATAAAGCAATACTTATGTATTTATAAAAGGCTTGTGCCAGTAATCACAAGACGATTTAATAAACAAATGATATTATATTGGCATAAGATGACTTAAAGGGGAAGTACACTGACTTTTCAACATTTCAGCATAATTAGATGGTTAACATGTCAACAAGGTCATTCAGAGTGGTTTGATGTGAAACGTTCTGTTCTAAAGAACCTTACCAACTACCAAAACATTCACAGTGGTGGTGATAGGAACCAGACGTCCACCTCTAAAAGCTCCCTCACAGAAAGTTACTACATGAAATGGTTATGAATTCACTGCCTGATGTCCGAGACGTTGTATGATAATTTTGAGAAGGTTTTGGCCTGAAACATATTTTATTCAATAAGTTTATGGTGGACAGGAACATGCAGGACATGGTTGACATGGACATGGAAAAATAGTCCCCAAACATAAATGAAATGCCTGCAGTCCTCAGTGATGGGCAACTGAACGTTCTTCTCCTCATTCAGTGGTCCATGGTTGCTTGGCAATGATCCCATACTCTATTTGGCAACCCAAATGTTAAGAAGAGCCATTTTGTCCTTTCAGCAAAAATCAAACCACCTTGGGAGCCACAACATTTAATGTCCATTTTACCATCTTGGCTGTAAATATGTCTCAGTATGTGCTGATGTAGTAAACTAGTATGGGCTAAAAAATCTAATATAAATGAAAACAGATTTACTTTGCTCTGCTTTAAGCTTTAGCTCAGCTATAGCTGCTTTTCTCGCATCTCTGGCAGGAAACTTTTCCAAAAGTGGAACAGTTTCTTGTAAAATGTCCCTCAATGATTTTTTTACAAGGCTGAAGTCGCTTCTCATTCACCAATTTCTTGTTCAAAAATTCCAAAGAGAAACTGGCTTCAGCTTCGTGAATTTTTAGTGTTTGACAGTTTCGTGTTGCAGATTAAACGTATCAGGAAACCAGCTGGAGTGATTATAAACACAAATAATTTCATTCATCTCAAATTATCGATGTTCATCTTAAATCTTTCTCTTTGCCGTTTCGTTAGCTACTAGCTAGGTCAGATTGTTGTCTGCGTTGCTGTGTGACCAGCAGTCTGCGTGCCGACCTACAGCATTAAAGGCTGGTGAATTAGCAGTTCTACATTAACTCCAGCGTTTAAGACCATTTATTGTTAAACTGTGTTGAACGATCAGCAGAGCTTTATTTTACTGTAAAGGAGGATTATTTTATTTTTACCTACAAATCTGATTCTGCTGTGGAGCCACAACAGGACAGTAGAAGAGCCGCATGTTGCTGACCCCTGCTCTAAAGGAATTATATTTCTTTGTGGAATACTTGTTTATGTCAATTATTATTAATAATCACTTAAATTACTTTCTGAAAAATTGTGTATTTTATTATATTTTATGTTGGCGACTGTTTTATAAAGGCAATAAGCCACTTGAGGCCGTGTGTTTCTGCAATTTTATCACGGGAAAGAGAGTCGGGCCAAAGAACACCCTTTCCTGTGATAAAATCACAGTAATACATGGCCTCTCCTGGCTTATTGCTTTATTTTGCACTTCATAATACACCACACGTTTTCAATAAGAGACAGGCAGGCTAGTCTAGCACTTGCACTCTCTGATTACGCAGCCATGCTGCTGTAACACATGCAGACTGTGGCTTTGTGTTGTCATATTGAAATCAGCGTGGACATCCTTGAAAAAGATTAAAAAGACAGCATATGTTGCTCCATAACGTACATATCTTTCAGCGTTAAAGGGGACCTACTATGCTCACTTTCAATGTTCATAATTTTATTTTGGGGGTCTACTAGAATAGATTTACATGCTCCAGTGTTCAAAAAACACATTATTGTTCTCATCCTGTACATCTCCATTCACCCTCTGTCTGAAACACTCCTGCGTCTTTAAGCTCCACCTCCCGATCAGCCCAGCATGCTCTGATTGGTCAGCTCACCCACTCTGTTCTTATCGGTCAGCCGACAGAGCGGTTCTGCCCCTCCACGTTCCGCCCCTGTCCTACGGTCTGCAAACAGACTCTTCTCTCCCGAGCAGCTGTAAACTTTGCTGTGGCTGTTTTTCCAGTGGCGTTGGTTCTGCCATATCAGTTTGATCCAGAGTGGATCCTGAAAGTCCGGTCAGCGTCTTCCCCACACGGCTACAACACCGAACGCACTCTTCCTCCTCCAGTAGCTGCTGTGTGCTGGGTGAGGGTGTGCTGAGCTTGCCGGTAGGCGGGCAGTAAGGATTGTGTTACGAGATTTTGTCATCTTGTAACAAAGGAAAAGAGCTGGACTTCCAACGAGGCGAAAGGTCACAAACATACAGTTGTGGTTTTCGGCCTTGCCCTTTTACGTACAGAGATTTCTCTGGATTCACTGGATCTTTGAATGTTGTTTTGCACTGTAGAGGATGAAATACCTAAAAACTTTGCAAACACTCGTATAGGAAGGTGTTTTTAAAGTTCAGCTACTTGTTGATGCATTTTTGGCGAAGTTGCAAGCCTTGACCAGTCCTTGCTTATAAAAGACTCTACTTTCCCTGATGCTACTTTTATACCCAAGCATGATTACATCACCACTTTTAAAATACCCCAAAGAATTTTGTTTTTCTCAGATCTATCACTACAATCAAAAGTCAGAAGAAACACGTAGGTTTACTGCTTTTGGAGAGTAAATAAAATGGCTATATTTGTGTTGTACACTGTTAAAAAAGATGGTTCTTTAGTAAAGAAATTGGTTCCTTATAGAACCATGAACACTCAAAGAACCATTTGCATGCTGAATGGGTTTCTAGCATCATGAAATGGTTCTTGAGATGGATGGAGAATGTGTTGCATATGATTCCATATAGCACCAGAAAGCGTTTTCGGAAAGGTTCTGTATGTAGAACGATCTATTCTACATCAATCCGAAGAACCATTTCATGATGCAAAGAACCCTTTCAGCGTGCAAATGGTTCTTTGAGTGTTCATGGTTCTGTAAAGGACCGCCTTCTTTACTAAAAGTACCCTTGAAGAACCATCTTTTTTTAAAGTGTAGCCATGGCGACCCCTGGTTCTTATCACCATCACTGTAAAGTGTCTACAATGAACCATTTCACACCAAACCACTCTGAATGACTCTGTTTACATCTGAATTATGTGGAAATTGTGAAAACTTGGTGGACTTTCCTTTCAAAGCTCCAGGAGTAGAGCTGGAGAGGCCTTATTTTACTTTTCAGCGTATCAGAGCTGCAGTGTAATTATAATGACAGGCTATACTGGGAGGCCGTCTTTTCTACGTTTGTTTTGGTTTCGTATTTCTCCCAGTGCTCAAACAATGCACACGGTTTCCTTTCGTTTACATTTACCTCAAACTTCAATGACATTCGGACTTTGTGAGTAACTTTCTCTCAGATTCTTTTTGCTTTTGAGTGCTATAATGAAGTGGTGGACACAGCAGTCTGTGATTTGAAGGCTCTACAAACGCCCCCTTCAGCTGACAACAGGGGAAAAAAATTATATGACTGTGACTGCACACAGGCAGACCAACTCAACCGCACTCAGTGGGCCGAGCCAGCAAAACGCTGCCACTTACGGAAAATGTGGGAAAACAGTGTCCTGGAAACCAGCACAACCTTAGATGAATGGGGAAGGAAACTCTTTCCACTGCACTTCTATTTTTTCCTCTTTCAGTAGCTCTCACTCTGCAGTCGCTGCTTTTTACGAGAGGTCATTTCTTTCTCTCTCTCTCTCTCTCTCTCTCTCTCTCTCTCGTGTGGACAGGCCTGAGCCAGCTAAGGACTGAAGCTCCGCTGTGTGCAACTAAGAATGGAGTGCTTAAGCAAGTGAAGCTGATTCCAGGTGATGGAAGCAAAACAAGGCTCTTACCTGAAAGGTAGGTTTCCAGAGGCGAGACTGAACTTCGGCTGTCCCAGCAGCAGAAGAAGAAGCTCCAGACCAGCAGAGTGGCCAGAACCAGAACAATGACCCACAGCAGCCTGGCCACTGCCGGGTACGCCAGGGCCCAGTCCTGCAAGGCATCCATTCTCCAGCGCTAATGTTTCCTTTTCTTTCTCTCTCTCTCTTCCTGTACGGAGCTGGTGCTGTGGCAGAGGCAGCTGGGCAACAGCTGGGAGGGATCGAGCCCACAGCCCACGTCAGCTCTTGGAGGAGTGGGCGTGCGTGTGCACGTGTGCGTTTTCTCCTCCGCTGAGAAGCACAGTGGCCACAGAGGCGCGACTCAGCCTGGAATATCCAGCTGCCACTCCCAGAGCGCACACACACACATACACTCCCTCACTTTTACCCCTCCTGCTCAGAAACCTGTCTGCTAATGGCAGGGGGATGCTCAGAAATGCGCCCTGGGCACTTTAAATGACACGTCGCATGCCGGACAGGGCAAAAACATGCTTTAAAGGGCGTATACCCTACATTTTTCTTTGCATTTAAAATTTTGCCTTCTTAGGTCCACTTATGAGGTGGTTTTTTTTGGCAAAAATTATAGTTTCTTATTCCTTTTTTTTTGCATGAACATTTTTCAAACTCTGTTATTTAGAATTAAAGAGGTTGTTTTTGTTATGGTGCCACTAAAGAGCCCATATCATGGAGCGCCAAGGTGTTTTTACCTTATTTTACGTAAGCACTGTTAAAGTCCAGGGGAACCGAACTAAAATAGCCTGTTTTCGATCTCACAAAAACCAACCCCTTGCATCCTCCCATTTGCGCTGAAGTTATAAGGAGTGTTTCAGCCCAGACTACTTTCTGAACAAGGCTCAGTTCAGGGAACAGAGCTCATTTACATAAATCAGTCTTAAAGGCACAATAACAAAAACAACCTGTTTAATTCTAATGCATAAAGAAAAGTTGGAAAGCAATCATGTTTTCATGTTTCAATGAATTATGAGGCTTTTTCAGGAGATAAAACCGAACACATATTGTAAGTGGACCTACAAGGAAAATAGAGGATATGGGCCCTTTAAGGCTGATATATGTAAATCAGCTCAGGGCTGTAGATCTGCTTATACCTCCAGTGTGAATGTGAATGGGTGGGGCTAATCTGCTGTGGGCTGAATAGGTGGATGTTGTTGTGACATCACAAAAACAATGAATTCAAAATGGCCCTGTTTTCATATACTGACTGAACAGCATGTTTTAAAACTTTAACAATGTTTACATGCTACAAAAAAAGCAAGGAAGATATGGAAGATTTTTAAAAGTCCTCCTGCATAATTAAAAATTCTTAATGTTACGAATGTTAAGATTCATAAAGAGTTTCATTTGAGAAATACAGTGAACGTCAAACTATACTATTAAAATGCCACCACAGAAGGACCATAGGATAAGAATCAGTGTTAAGAATATTAGGAAAGAAAAACTTTAATGTTGCTTAAAACATAATTTCTGAAAAACTCACAACAGAATGATCTTTCAGTGTCCAGACCTTTTATTTTAGGACTTTCTTTTAAAGCTCCAACCCCTAAAATGTCTCAAGCAACAAAACCGATATTTGCAGGCCTCCCTGCAATTACACTGGGGCTGTGGGTTCATATACAACATAATCAGAGGAGCAGTGGGGTAGAATCTTTGGTTTGGTGTGATACTGGACAAAAGTTTGTCCAGGAGTTACTAGATCAGAATAAGCTGGACACTGCTGCCACCTAGTGGATGAACCATCGCCACACATTCCAAGGACCAAGTCCACTAGAGCTAAAACAGGCTGAGGCAACAAGTCAGATTTATTACTTTTTAAGCTTTTGTTTTGCAGTGACAATACACCAAATATATAGATTTTAAAACTCTTACATAATTCACTCCCTGTGTCTGTGGGAGGGCCTCACACCTTTCCTGCATCCTCCAGTCTGTGACTACTTTTAAAGGACAATACCACCAATTTTTCAACAATTCTGCATAATTGAGTGGTTAAGATGTAAACAGAGTCATTCAGAGTGGTTTGGTGTGAAACGCTCAGTTCTAGAGAAACTTACCGAGTCAGAACTGTTCACAGTGGTGGTGATAGGAACCAGACGTCCACCTCTAAAAGCCCCCTCACAGAAAGTTACTACATGAAATGGTTATGAATTCACTGCCTGATGACTGAGACACTGTTTTACGTTAGTTTTGAGAAGATTTTGGCCAAAAACACTTCTTTTAATCCATTTATGGTGGAGAGGTACAGGCACACAAAATTGTCCCCAGAGAAAAAACATTTTTTCAGATTTATCACTATTTTTATCATCATCAACATTACATATAAAAGCTCAGAAGACTCGTGTAGGTTCACTGGTGGTTTTGGATAGTAAATAAAATGTCTATATTTGTGTTGTAGTCATGGTGACCCCTGGTTCCTATCACCACCACTGTAAAGAAATCTGATTAACCATTTCATTTCAAACCAGCCTCAGGTAACATTAGTTTAAACCAATATTTATAGATATTAATTACAGATTTGAAAACACATCCTGAGCTTGTATTCCTTATATTCTCGGGAACGCTCTTGCCGAGTTAAGGAACTCTATAAGAATCTGATCCTCCACCAGCTGAGCTGTGAGAGACTCTAGGAGTCTGCAGTGAGCCTGCCTCAGCTGAGTGGAGTGGTCAGGATGAAGTGGACATTTTTTGTACTTGACAGATAGAAAAAATAAAATGGTCAGTTCAGGACAAACTGCCTGTTCAATCAATGAGACTTGTTTGTGCTTTTGTGCATTTAAATCAAATGACCCCAGCTCTGAGAAAGTGGTCAATACACTTCCGGCGCTGCTGTGGGTGGCAGCCTTTCCAGTATCTCTGTCTTTTGTGTACTGTTTTTGCACTTTTTCCTTACTTTTTCTTTTCTTTATGCGCTTATATTGCTAATTTAGTGACTGTTGTATGTACTAAGGACATGGAACCTGTTTTCATGCGTGCGGGCAGGAATAACTTTGTTTATACAAGGGAAGAGCTGCCAGCACTCCAAACAAAGGGTCGCACCGGCACAATGCACCCAATTCCAGAGGAGCTGTGGAGGAGCTATCGGGGTTGCAGAGCCGGCGCTAAGCTAAAGGCTAAGCGCATGGAGAAAAACTGGAGGTATATTTGCTAAATTTCGGGATCAATAAAGTATCTGTCTATCTGTAAGTTCAGGGGGCTGTTTTGTCTAGTGGTCTGTTTTTATTTGCTGAAGTGCTGAAGACTGTGACTGTGTGTACGGCCTCAAGGTCTTCACCATAAAGCAAAGCTAAAGCAGACTGGGGCCGTTTTGTTTTCACAATGCACAAATCAATCAAACCACAAAACGAACTACAAACGAACCAATCTCGGTTAGTTTTTGGGGCCGTTTAGAGGGTCTGAGTTCATTTGGCGTGTTCACATATGTCCAGAAAACCATGACTCAGCAGTCTGAGTCCATTTAAGGCACTGAAACTGCCCAAGTGTGTCAGAAGCACCTCAGTGGTGATACACTCGAAGCAAATGCTTTACAATCTTAAGAATTTTGATTTAATAACTCAATACAGACAAATGGTACCAGTCAAAAGTTTGGACGTCTACTCATAAAATGATTTTCCCTACTTGTGCCATTTTCCACATTTTAGGGTAAGAGTGAAAGCAAAATTATTATATAATAAATATGGAATAATGCAGAGACCTACAGAAGTCCAGAGAGGACACAAGGTAGTTATAATTTCCTGGATTGTCATTTTGAGATATGAGTTAATTATCTTATCTCAAGAGAACAAAATTGTTAAGATAATGAGTTAATTATCTTGTGATCTCAAGATAGTTGTTTTTTATCTTATCTCAAGAAAACAAAATTGTTATCTTGAGATAACAAGTTATTTATCTTGTTATTTCAAGATAGCAAACTGGTTATCTTTTGAATGTGATGCCAACAACACATTCCAAAAAAGTTGGGACGGGGGCCTGTTTACCACTGTGTTTCATCACCTCCTCTTTTAATAACACTCTGTAAGTGTTTGGGAACTGAGGAGACACTGCTGTAGTTTTGAAAGTGATATGATTTCCCATTTTTGTTTGATGAAGGATTTCAGCTGCTCAACAGTTCAGGGTCTCATTTGCAGTATTTTTCATTTCATAATGCGTCAAATGTTATAATACATGCAGAAAGTGGATTGGCAACATCTTGCTGAAATAATCAAGGTCTTCCCTGAAAAAGACGTCATCTGGATGGCGGCATATGTTGCCAAAACATGTATATATCGTTTAGCATTAATGGTGCCTTCACAGATAATGCACCCCTAGACCATCATGAATACTGGCTTTTGAACTGTGCACTGACAACAAGCTGAGTGGTTTTTAGCCTGGAGGACACAGTATCCATGATTTCAAAAAGAATTTAAAATGTTGATTTGTCAGACCACAGGACACTTTTCCACTTCCCCTCAGTCCATTTTAAATGAGCTCGGGCCCAGAGAAGGTGGCAGCATTTCTGGATCCTGTTTATATCTGGTTTCTTCTTTACATTTTGGAGTTTTAATTAGAATTTGTGGATGCAGAAACAAACTGTGTTCACTGACAGTGGTTTTCAGAAGTGTTTCTGAGCTCATGCAGTGATTTCCACTACAGAATCATGTCTGTTTTTAATGCAGTGCTGCCTGAAGGCCCAAAGATCACGTCCAGCAAATACTGGTTTTTGGCCTTGTCCCTTACATACAGAGATTCCTTCAGATTCTCTGAATCTTTTAATGTTATTATGTAGCATAGATGATGAAAAGCAAAAGTTCTTTGCTGTTTTATGTTGAGAAACGTTATTCTTGAATTGTTGCACTATTTGCTCATGCAGTCTTTCACAGAATGGTGAACCCCTCCTCATCCTTACTTCTGAAAGACTCCGCCTCTCTGAGATGCTCTTTTTTATAACAAATCATGTTACTTACCAGCCTTTTGTTGCCCCCGTCCCAACGTGTTGGAACGTGTTGTTAGCATCAAATTCAAAATGGGCATATATTTTTCAAAAAACAACAGAATTTCTCAGTTGCAACATTTGATATGTTGTCTTTGTACTACTTTTGGAATTGAAACCACAAATTTTTGTTTTGGAAATAATCAGTATGGAATCATCATCCTCATCATCCATCATCCTGGCCCTTATTTAACAAAGTTGTGTAAAAGAAAAACAAAAAACAAAAGAGTGCAGCTTTAATGACGTACAAAGTACTCTGCGTCTGATTCATGAAACTTTCCTATGAGATTT